AGTCCACACACGTCTCCCGGCGGCCGGGGCTTCCGCGCCTATGTGCGAGCGTACGTAAGTGCGTGTGTACGTACCTGCCTGGCTGCGTGCCTACGCGCTTGCGAACGGGCGTGTTTTCGTACCTCCGTGTGCGTTACGTGGGTTCGAGCCGGCGTAGGCCCCGCAAAGAAGGGGCGCCGGCGTCTGTGGCACCCTGTGAGCTGAGGGAGCGCCGAGGCCTGTCACCGGTCAGCGGTCCCCGGTGCCGGGCCGCGGCGATGGCGGGAGAGCCACGAGGCGGGCCGAGCGCTCTGTCCGCTCTCCGCGGCCCGCGTCGTCTCCCGGCCTGGGCGTGGGAGGCGGTCGTGCAGGCGCTGGCCGCCTCGCCGGGTCACGCGGAAGCGGACGGTCCCGCCTGGTGGCCGCAGCCGGGTCAGCCAGGGGCGCCCGCGACTCGGTGCCAGGAAACCCGCCCGCCACAGAGGGAGCCAGGAAGCCCCTGCTGCTGAGGCCCGCCGGGCCCTCCGCGGGCTGGGACCTGTGGGCTGGGGTTTTCCGGGCCTTGGGGGGGCGGATCTGGAAGCAGGCGCAGAGCTGCGCAGGCCACCCTTCCCTGTCCCCTCCTCCCGCCAGGGTCACACGCCCGCCATCCTTCTAAGTGCATGTGCAGGCAATGGACCTGTGCCCAGAGAAACAGGAGCATGCTGGTCCAGGAGCCCCAGCCCTCCCTCACTGCGTCCCTCCCCGCCTCCCCTTGGCCCCCTGGCTGTGGCCTACCTGAGGTCCCAGGCTGTGCGGTGTTGCACTGGTTACCCCTGGCACTCCTCCCAGTGGGGCCTACTCAGGATTTTATTGAGGGCAACGGGATCGTGGGGCCCCCAAGTCCTTCCCCTGTGACAATGTGAGGGAGTGGTGTCACCTTTCTCCTGTTGGATAAGGGGGCTGCTAGGCTGTGAGAACACAGTCCCTTAAGGTGAGGATTTTCTCAGCTGCTGGCTGGGGCATCATGTGATTAGCAGAACCCAACCTTGAGTGAGGTGTTTCCCATCCCATGGGCCCTCCTGAGTCCCAGTGGTCCCCCATCCCTGCCGAGTAGAAGACCTGTTCTGGCACATTAGCCAACATTGTCCTCTTGTACCGGATGACTTTTTCTTCTCCCCCCACCCACCCCGGTCCTTGTGCGGGTGAAGAGGCCCAGACAAGTGGAATAGCGTTTCCTCCTCAGACCACAAAGCAGGTACTCTGCGTGGTGAGACAGGAGGGCAGCTTTACAGTTCCATCCCTCTAGGGGTTCCGCCCACACAGTTCAGTTCTCCTTGTGTCTTTGCGGCCCTGATGAGAAAAAGGTTGGCCAAGAAACTGAATGGCAGACATGAGGCAAACCTGCAGTCCAGTTATATACCCTGGAGAAGAAAGAGAAAGGGCCAGGCCGCAGGGGGATATCCAGCCTCCCTCGTGAATAATCCGGACCCAGCAAACAGGGCGACCCTTTGTCCCCCATCGGGCTGGCAGAGCTTAAGCAGAGTAAGGATGCTCAGGGCCGACAAAGGAGTGAGGAAGTGGAGCCCTTGTCCGTGGTTGGTGGAGCGTGCACAGGGGAGCCTTTGTGGAAGGCGATGTGCTGGCCTGTATCAGCATCTCAGGTGTGCATCCCGTGACCCTCGCCGCCTTCTAAACGTGTCCTCTGCCAACGAGCGTCTGTGGTGGTGTCCTCTGTGGTGGCAGGAAGTGCCAAGCAGTCTGTGAGTCTCCGTCAGTAAGGGACTACTCAGCAAACTGTGGGACGGCCAACCACGGGATGCCACACAGGCAGTGAAAAAGATGATAGATGGAGATGTACAGACAGAAGGAATGTGCCGGGTGTGCCCTTGATGGAGAAATCAGTGTGCACCCTGTGGAGACGTCCAGGACAGAGCTTGCACCTGCCTCGGAATTAGCTTGCCAGGGTGGTTGTATCAGACTACCACAGACTGGGTGGCTTCAACAACGGGAATGCATCGTCGCCCGTGTCTGGGGGCTGGAAGTCCGAGCGCAAGGCCTCGGCTGAATTTGCCTCTTCTGAGAGCTGGGAGAGAATGTGTTCCGTCCCTCCCCCCCCCCCGCCCCCCACCTTCTGGTGGTTTCCTGGCCCTCTTTGGCATCCCATAGCTTGTAGATCTCTGCCTGCGTCTTCACATGCCTGTCTCTACACCCTTTTAAAGGGACACCAGTCCTACTGGGTGAGGGTCTGCCCAGCTGAGCTCATTTGAATTCACAAGGTCTGTAAAGACCGAAATTCCTTTACCTATGAGGTCGTGTTCTGAAGTGCTGGGGAGTGAGACTTCCAACACACGAATTTGATGGGGACATAATGCCACCCGTGACAACCTATGAAAGCCCTGAGGGAGGGATGAACTTGGCGTGTTCCAGGGATGGAAGGAAGGCCTTTGTGGCTGCAGGGTGGTGAGTAGAGGGGTGAAGGGAGCAGACAGCGGGGGGTGGGGGGGGCGGTTGGGGGCAGATCACGTGGGGCCTTTGGGCCCTGGCGAGAAGTGTGGATCCGTCCTGGACGGGACAGGAGGCCCCTAGAAGGTTGTGGCAGGGGAGTGACACGATGGATCACTCCTGTACCAGAACCACTCTGTCCTCGGTGCGGACCCTGGAGTGCTGCGCTCCAGCGGCGAGGCAGAGGGTGACCGGGAGAGTGCTCGAGAGGGCAGCGGGACCTTGGGAGCCTGAGGCTGTCATTGTGGCCCTGCAGACGATGGAGACCGGTCGGGCTCTGAGCGGGTTTGGGGACCGGCGCCCACGTGACGTGAGTGCCGGGTGCGGGAAAGCGAGCGCAGGCGGCTGCTAGGTCAGGGGGACTGGAACAACAACAGACTGGTGGTGAAACCACTCGCCGAGGTGGAACGGAAGCGGATTTGGGGTGGGGTGGTTGGGAACCTGGGGCTGCTGGCTGTGGAAGGTTGAGACGAAGCGGGCATGGCCTGTGTGAACGGGGGCAGAGCAGGCGAGCGTGCGATGTGCAAGCCTGAGCAGAAGGGAACGAGAGGCGGTCAGCCGCGTCCGGGCTGTCCGGCCACGAGTCAGATGAGGACAGGACAGGCACGTGGCGGGTCGAGGGTGTGTTCGTGGAAGGTGGGGTGCGGTGCATGGCGAGGAAGTAGAGGCTGCGAGTATAGACGGCCATTCTGGGGGGACTTCTGCTATGCACAGGTTTGGAGAAGGCCGCCGCAGGAGCTGGAGGCCTGTGTGGGGGCTCCCCCCTCACCCCGGGGGGGGGGCGGGGGGAGGGGTCCTTGTCCCTGCCCTGAGGGAGACACAGGTGTGGCTCTCTGCAGAGGGGACCACCTACCTACTCCTGGGGGACGGGAGGGAGGCTGCCTGAGCAGGAGCAGGACAGAGCCAGGCGCCGGAGTGAGCCAGAGGGCTAGGCCCCAGAGCACAGCTGAGGGCGGCTCCCCTGGAGAGACAGAGGGAAGGCAGCGGGTCTGGACGTGGGGACAGGCAGGACGGTGGATTGGGAAGGGGGTGAACATGAGGCCGCCTTGCTGGTCACTGGGCCTTGTCTTTGAGAGTGGATGTGGTTTCTTCAACAGGAGAATGCCGTTGAGGCCAGGTTTATGTACTTCAGGACCTGGGAGCAGAGATGAACCGGAGAAGGTGGTACTCAGGGGCTCAGGGTAGAGCCCCAGGCCCGATGATAATGATGATGGGCAGCCACTGTTTGTAACTGTCCTGTTAGGTGTCATGTACTGGGCTAGGCGCCCTTGGCACCTTGTCCCCGATCCTCGCAGCCACGCGGGAGACGGAGGCTCCGTCAGGTACCGGGACCCAGCTGAGGTTCAGGCCCCGGGGGCCCCACTCTTCCCACTGCACAGCTCTGTCCTCCCGTGAGGAGGGCGGACCCCCCCCCCAATCCAGGTGCAAGGGCAGGGGGTCCATGCACTCAGATCCCCTTGCAGTCATGGGCCATCTGTCTCTTCCTCGGCACCTCCTTCTCAGGTCCGGAGTGAGGTGACGGTAGCGCTGCTGTAGCGGGTGATTTGAGGATTGAATCCTCTGGTGTGTGGTTCGTGCCCCTCCCCTGTGCCTGGCATAGAGGCAGTGCGTGCGCCCCGGGACCAGTTGTTCCTGCTCTTGTATTTCCTTTCTCTAGGCTCGGGTCGGGGTTGGGGGGGTCTGTTGATAGTGGAGAGCAGTGGGGCAGGAAGGGGTCCGAGGAGGGTGGCACCCAAAGGGGCCGGGGCCATCTGAGATCGCTGGGGCGCCCCCAGCGCTGAGCCGAGGTTAGATACCAAGGATTTGTGCTCCGCCGCCCCGGGACAGGGGCCCGGGGATCTGCAGTGTCTCGGCGGTGGCAGGGCCAGGGACCCGAGTGGGTTGGCAGGAGAAGAAGCGAGGCCCGGGACTGGCCCTGTCTGTGCTGGGAGGGGGCTAGAGCCAGCTTGCCGAGTCGTGAAACCCAGGGGCCCGTCCCCCTCTGTCCTCTGCTGGGGCTCCGTGGCCTCTGTTGTAGCACCGACCACGTGCTGTCCCGGCCGTGCCTTTCTCTAGCCGTCTGCGCCATCGTCCGAGAGCTCGCCCAAGACTCTGTCTGATGGACACGTCGTCCTGATCCCCGGCCCCTTCCTTTGGGCCTGTCGGCTGACTGTGTCGTGATAGGAAGAAGGAGCCAGGGCTCTCGGCTCCCCCACCGCCCAGGTCAGTAGGCAACCCGGGGGACACTGGGGCGAGGCCTTGCCCGCGGGTCATGAGCTTGGAGCGCTGGGCGTGATGCTCATTGACGTTCGTGGTTCCGTGTCCCCGCAGGCCAGGGGAGGCCCCAGGAGCTGTAGGGAGATGCAGTTCGGCTGCCTCTCCTTCCGGCAGCCTTACGCAGGTTTCGTCTTAAACGGGGTCAAGACCATGGAGACGCGTTGGCGTCCTCTGCTGAGCGGCCACCGGAACTGCACCATCGCCGTCCACATCGCCCAGAGGGACTGGGAAGACGCCGCGTGGAGGAGGCTGCTGGTGGAGAGGCTGGGGATGGCCCCTGCTCAGATTCAGGCCTTGCTTCGGGAAGGGGAAAAGTACGGCCGTGGCGTGATAGCTGGCAAGTGATGATAGGCCAGATGCTGCTCAGACAACCTCCAGGGGCTAAGGCCGCGGGATCTAGCTCGGGAGTTTTGTGGCTTGTTTTCTTTCGAACTGCTTGGTGTGTGAGCCGAGCGACACACCGTTCAGAGGGGCAGCAGGGGGCCGTGGGCTGGGGGTGGGGGAGTTGCCGAGGTCCCACGACCTCCCGGGGACCCTGCGTCCGCTCTGGGCCTCGGTTCCCATTTTCGATCTGAGAGGCAGGGACAGCTTCCAAGTCTCCACGTGGCACTGGCCTGTGCGTGTGTATGTGTACACCCGTGTGTTTGCGCGCGAGTGTGTGTGCGTCCGTGTGTGCGTGCGCGTACGTGCGGCAGAGACCATGGGAGGCGGAGACCGCGGTACCCGGCGTGGGTTGGGGTAGCCTCCAGATTCAGGCTGTTGCCTGGCTTCGTGGGCGGATGCCCCACCCCCACCGTCCCCGCATCCCAGCTAAGTTCCCTGCGCCCTGGGTGGGTCAGGTCCCACCGCCGCACCTGCCACCTGCCAAAGTGCTCGGGGACCTGATGGCCTGTTCCCCCTGGCGTCTGGAGCCCTTCTGACCTCCGCCTGCTGCCCTGAGCAGTGTGGCTGGGACCAGCCCATTGCTTGGGTGTGGTCGTTGAGGACAGGGCCCTCCACTTCTTTGTCTCCGTCCCTCGGCCTCACCCGGAATTCCCTGAACAGAGTTTGGCACGTCGCAGATGCTCGGCCAGAGCGGCCCAGTGTACTCCGTGGCCCCCTGGGGAGACCCTCGTGGTCCCTGGTGGTTGTAGCTGTCAATAACCGTGTTCTCCGACAGGCGGGCCTCGGTTTCTGGAAGGAAAAACCAGTGCGCGCTTCTCCTTGTGCACAGGGCTTGTTGACGTTGGGGAAACGTTGCCGTGCCCAGAGGACTTAGCTCCCGATGAGGTCGTGGAACTGGAAAATCGAGCTGTGCTGACCGGCCTGAAGCAGAAGTACCTCACGGTGCTTTCGAACCCCAGGTGGTTGCTGGAGCCCATCCCCAGGAAAGGCGGAAAGGATCTCTTCCAGGTAGACATCCCAGAGCACCTGCTCCCCTTGGGGCAGGAGGCCTGAGGGGCGTGCAGGGTTACGGAGAAGCCCCAGCTAAGTCATGACCCGTGAGGTGACCATCGTGCCACAGGCGGGGACCGCAGCTCTGGTCTGGCTTGGCCCTGCCGCGGAGAGCGCTGCCGCTGCGTGCTGTTCCTGGGCACGGATTTCTCCGCTCCCGTGCGGGGGACGGGCCCGCGGGACTTTCCCTGTGAGCCGCCCGTCTGGGCTCCTCGACGGGCTCGAGGACTCGGAGCTTCAGGAGACAGGGAAAGCTGCCGTAAAGGCCTTTGCACCGCGACTAATTTGGGTTGCACAAAGAAATACGTTTTGGGGCGCCTGGGTGGCTCAGTCGTTACGCGTCTGCCTTTGGCTCGGGTCATGATCCCGGGGTCCTGGGATCGAGCCCCCTGTCGGGCTCCATGCTCCACGGGGAGGGAGCCTGCTTCTCCCTCTGCCCCTGCTTGTGTTCCCTCTGTGTCTCTCTCTGTGAAATAAATAAATAAAATCTTAAAAAAAAAATGCGTTTTGAGAGAACTGGTTAGTGTCTCCCCCGCTCTTTGTTCTGGTCAAAAGTCAGAGAGCGTTTGAACAGCGTCCAGGGGATGTTGTGGGAAGGCTGCGAGTGGGCACTGAAGGAAGGCCCGGGAGGGAGTGGCCAGCCACGGACGGCCCCGCTCACGGTGACGAGGACCTCAGCCTGAGAAACAGAGCGCCCATCCGTCCTCGCAGATGATTCTTGCTGTTGTGAAAGCGTCCCTTGGCCCATGAAGGGTGCGTGTTACACACGTGGCACGGCTGCTTCGTGTGCAAGGGAAGGATCCTAAATACAGCCCTGATGGAAAAGTGACAAGTTGTGGTGTTTGTTTTGTGGGAAATCTCTTGTTGTTGGCTTTTGTGTGTTCCTTAGCGAAGGTTCTAGTGGTTGTTACCTATGAGGATGATGGGCCACCCCCGCCCCCCCACCCCGCCACCCCCACCCCGCCATCGACTGGAATGGCCCGTGTCTTCTGAGCTCGACGAAAGGGGTCCTACGTCCCTGCTTTTCGGTGGGCCTCCTTGGAAGGCCCCTGGCCCCCGCGCTAGGAGCGCTCAGCTGCTGATCAGAAACTGGCCCTGGCATCACAAGGGGACCCACGAGGAAGGCCCCTCCTGTCTCAAGCTGCGCGAGCGCCGGAAAGGGGGACGGCGCCAAGGTCAGGAGCGAGGCTGTTGTCTCTCCTGACCGGCAGGCGAGGCTCAGGCGACCAGATCTTCCTGGGCCTGCCTCAACCCTCCCCAGCCAGCTCCTTGGCCGAGTGGGTGAAAATGCTGCCGCTCCAAAGCAAAGAGGACCCACGGGGGCCAGCCCCGGTCCCGGGCCAGAATTCCCAGCCTCCTCGGGTCTATCCGATGAGGTGTGCGTGGTGTCGCAAGTTAGAAAGAACACAGACTCGCCGTTGTCATTGTTTATTTACTCCTGCGGAGTTTTGCTTTTCTTTATTAAGGCCAGGAATAGAGTCAGGGTTACACGATGGTGATTTTTATCTGTCGCCCGTGGCCTGTGAGCTTAGGGAACCGGGTCGTCCTTGAAGTGTTCACAGAGTGCACACTTGTAATCTGAGGAACCCTCCTGCTCCTCATTCTCACTGGGGGCCTCGTTTGGGGACATGACAGAAAGGCCAGCCAGCAGGATGGAATAGCAGGCGTTGTACAGCGACATCAGCAACCCATAATCTGGGTAAGCCGGGAGGGCGGTGGGCAGCTCCCCCGCGCCGTCCCTTCTGGCAGTAGCCAGGGGCACAAACATCACATTCCTGGAGGTGTCCTCCCCACTTGGGCCACCCTGCTCCCTTGGGCCATGATTTTCCATGGGACTTCTGGCTACGCTGCTCAGGAACCGGATACTGGAGAAGCTAAAGGACTGGGTGCCGCTGGGTCCCTGAACGTTTGGGGCTTCTCTGGGGCCCGCCTTGTCCTCGTTGCTGGATTTGCTGTGATGGAATCGTGGGGAACGTCTTGTCGCCGCCGCCACCTGCTTCTTTCTCTTTAGAGGTGTTGCACCGCTTCCTAGCCACCTGGTGCCGGTTCTCGGATCACCTTTCCTCTGAATATTCTCGAGCAGCACGGGCCTGTCTCGCTGGAAGTTGGAGTTGCGGTACATCTGAAACGAGATTCGTCCTTTTAGTCATTCTGGAAGGAAAGAATCGTGTCCTCTGCTGCCGCCGCCGCTGCCACGGCCACCGCGGCCACCACCAGGGCCACCACTACTCCCTGCCCCTCCCCCCTCCCCCCCCCCCGAGGACATAATGGCCTAGATAATGGCCTAGCTCTACTATGGGGGAGAGGTCCTCGGAGGCTGCCTGCGAGGTTCCTTACGCCCTAGAGCCTGAGCTCACCAACGACGGCGTGCATAGGTTAAGGTGTTCACGCACCTATCTGACGTTCCCTGGCTTCTGTCTAGGCATAGAGAAATACGTTAATAAAAGATTACTAGGAAATTAAGCCCCTTCGGGAGATCCTTCCTCTGGGTCTACTAGGAAGCTGTTGGAAGGACAGAAGACGGGGGCGGGGGAGACGCGAGGACTTTCTACTTTACCGTCATCCTCCCGTTCCCCGGGGCGCGAACCGAAGGGCTGTCTGGGCGTATTTTGCTGAACCCGTACAGGTTCATTAGGCAGATGAACCCCTTCAAGCTGTCAGTTTCAAAGATTCTCTCTGGGCCCCTCCGGTGAAGAATCTCCCTCTGGAAAAGGTCTTCGTCGATGATCACGGTGTCGCCGTCGTCATTCCAGCGCACGGACGTGAAGGCGTCGTCCTCCACGATGCTCCAGAGCTTTCTCGGGAAGGAAAGCCCGAGAATGTTTTGCCCCACATTGGCGGCACCCAGGTTTGGGGCCTCTGGCTGTGGGTTGTCTTGGGGATCTGGATCTCGGCTCCCAGCCGGGTCCTCGTGCTTCTCTAAACCCTCCCTGGAATCCAAATTTGGACCCAGGGAGGAAGTCGATGGGACCGCTGTGGCTGACTCTCCGTCACCAGGCAGAGCCAGCTCGACCGGGCCTATCTCGTCGGTACTCTGACTAGCCATGGCGCTAAGTCTAGATCAGGAGCATTTTCACCCCGAGACCGTCTCACTTGACTCTCGAGTCAGAAATGCCTTCGGCCGGTACAGGGGTGCCCCATATATACTGTCCCCCAAATTCTGGAGTCTCGTAGTCGGGCAACCGGGTGCCTGAGTCATCGCCCCCTTTATTTGTCATGTGATGTCACAAAGGCGACTCTGAGCTGGTCTGGAGAGGGAGCCCTGGCCAAGTGTGGGGGAGGGGAGGGGTACAGGCCCCTAGCTTCTCTCTTTTCTACAAGTAAACAAAAGTATGGTTTGGGTTCCCCAGGAAGGCTCCTGTCTACAACCAGGCACAATGCCTCCCGGGGCCAGGCCCTGGATGGGTAGAGAAACCACAATCCTAGGTGCACTCCCACTCCCTGAGGACCGGCGGTGGGGGGCGGGGGGGACCTGTTGGTGGCCTCTCTGATTAGCTCAAGGGCCAGGCCCTGGTGAGCCCTGGCTTGGCTACCACCAAGTCTGCCTGGGTCAGATGGGCCCTTGGGAGACTGTCTCTCTCAGAAGATGGCAGCCCCTAGGGGTCTGGTTGGCCTAGTCTCAGTTGGTAGCCCTCCCCCTTCTTCCTGCACCCCCCCCCGCACTTCCTGCTTTGGTCTCTTCCACCTGCTCCTGCTGGTTAGTTGGTCCTGCTCAGATGGGCCTGAACCAAGAACCCTGTTTCCTTGCCCCTGGGTTAAATTGTCCCCGGAGTAGGGCTGTGCGAGAGCAACGGTGAGAGCGTTGCTCTCGTTCCTCAACCTCAGTGTTACCCACAGCACCTCAGACACGCTGCTAACCCAGAGCTCCGGCTTTGTCAGTGAATGGCCCCCGCCTCTGCCGAGCTTGAGGGTCTCCTGTTGAGCTCTGCTTGTCCCCAGATCTCATCCCTGGCCAGATCACGATGGGGTTGTCTTTAGTCTCCGTTTGTTCCCTATAGGAACTCTCCTCGTGGCCCAAGATGTGCTCACTTTGGGGACACTTGTGCTCGCCCTTTGCAAACGTCCTCCCGCGGACAGGCCGATTCAGCCTCCCTTGAGGCTGCCTCGAAAGCCCTCTCTCCTTTCTTCAGTGGAGTGGTTTGGCCTCAGCTCTCCCAGATTTCTGGCCACCCGCTTCCAAATTGGATCTCCCTTGGCACTTCCCCTTTTAATTACTTGATTTTGGGGTTCAGCATATAGTCTGTTCTGTTGAAACAAAGCATTTCACGGACCCACGGCCATGCCAGCCCTGCTCCCCTTGCCCCGAGCCCACCCCCAGCCCTGACTCCTGTGCTCCCTCTCCTGCCATGACCTTGATGGGAGATACAGTGAGTAGTGTCGTTTGCTCTGCGGTTACTTTTCCAAGGGCCTGTCGTATACAGACTCACTCCCCAGGAAAACTCCTACTTGTTTAGCTCGACGTGACCAGAGGAAGCCAATATGCAGTATCTGAAAATAGAGGAGAGTCTGGCTGTGGGATGGGACACAAACCTAAATGAAAGTCATCTTCACCATAGATGAGAGGATGGGACGGTGGTTGGAGAGATACATGTTCCCTAGCCACCTGGACAGCTTTGTTCTTAATCTTCGCTCTGGTGCCGTGGAAAGGCCCCCGCCTGCGAGGATGCTAGCTCCTTGAGCCAGCTCTGCCACCGAGGAGGGTCATTGGCCCTCTCTGAGGGTCAGTGCTTTGTGTCTAAATGGGGAGCGCCAAGAGGGTTCGAGAGAGGGTCTCCCGGGGGGACTTTCCGTCCAAGGGCTGGGACCCTCGATGGAGCCCCCAGCTCTAGAATCGGGCTGGCTTCGTGGTCTCCGGGCTCCTTGACAGTTTACCAAGCGTTCATTCCAGAAGTCAGTGCGTGCTGTGGGGGCCTGCGACGAGAGGCTAAGGATTTACACGGGAGCTTAGAAAAGGGCCACCATTTAAAAGCCATTGGTGGCTTCTCAGAAGGGGGCTCCTAGAGTCTCTGGTTAAACAGCCCAGCTTCCTTCAGTTGCGTACCTCAGAATTTTCTCCTCGATGAGCTCTTTAAAGAACGAAAATGATATTTTGCCATGGCCTTTGCGAGCCCCTGCGCTCTGCTGTTTACTTAGAGGGACCGGACCGTGGTGGTGGTGGTGGTGGGGGGGGACGTGGGAGCGATGACCAGCCGGGAACCCACAGTCTGGCGCTCCACACAGATCGGGCAGTGATTTGATTTGACTTGTTTTAGGCACTCCCAGGTCCTACGTCTGGTGTAGGACCGTTGCCTAACGTTCTTGCTCTCAAGTCCCCAGATCTCCTCTGGGGCTCAGCAGCTAGGACAGCAGGCGCATCTTGTCCCCTGAAGAGGAAATAGCCACAGTGCCGTCTTCAGTCTAGTTGGAGGGCAGGAGGGACATTTCAGCCTCCCTCAGCTAAGCCTTCTCCATCCCGGCATTTCCAACCCTAGGACCTGGGGCTGCCACTCCAGACAGTCTTTCTTAGACAGCTTCCATGCTCAAGACCCTTGGAGAGAAATGACTGCTCGTCGGTGCTCCAAAGGCCCCAGAGATGACCGGGGCGGGTGGCCGCCTTACGCGGGGCCAAAGCCCCAGTCAGGCGACTCGGCAGAGCACAGCTGAGGGGGCTGCGAGGACAGCCACCCCCAAGGGGCTCGCCACAGCTTCTGCGCAGCCCTGTGGCCATCGAGAAAGGGGCCGAGCGCTGGGCTATGGGGCCCAAGGCCCGGCGCCTCCGCCAAGCGAGCCTGGCTCTGTGGCCTTGCCTGCCGCCCCTGCCTTCGGGCCTCCGTCCTTCAAGCCGTCCGTTGCTCCCTGGGTCCCGGGAGCTGCCCCCTTCCTGGGCTCCATGCCCCGCAGGCACCGCCCTTCCCCTGCGGTTGGCTCAGGTCCCAGCGCAGGGGACTTTCTCAGCCACGAGGGGACTTTGTCAGCCACGGCTCAGAAGGAAGGCATCCCTGGCTGGACGCAAGCCCTGAGGCATATGTCGCAGGCCCGCCTTCTCCCGCCCCCCCTTCCCCACCCCAACCCCTGGGCCCCCAGCCGCCAGCCCAGAGGCCCTCCGGCGGCTTTCACTCATGGTGTGTGGGGCACCAGCCCCCGGCCCCCCGCCGCGGTGCCTGCCAGCACTGCTCTCTCATACACCTGGAGCTCCTGTCAGGGGCGGACCCCTAGCCGCCCCCTCCTGTGGTGCTGCCTCCGTGAGGCCCCCCTCTGGGGCCGGGCCCCCTCAAGTCTCCCCTCCTGGGGCACCCATAGCCGGCCCCCAGCTCCCACATGCAATCCCAGGCAAGATGCTCCTGTCTCCCGCTCCAGACTAGGAAGGCGGTCCTTGAGGACAGCAGAGACCACCATGTGAACCTGGTCCCCGAAAGTTCTGTGCCCCCCAGCAGCAGCTGGGCGGGCTTTCGCGTCCTGGAAAACAGCTCTGTGTTGTAACGGGGCAGGAGGAGCCGTCGGCGAGGACACCCGCCTCACCGTGGCCGTGCTGAGCACTCCTGGGGTCTGGGCCATTCACTCGGGACCACGGTCCCTCGGGCAGGTTATCAGGAAAGGCCCAGCCGAGGCCGTGGCAGGTGGAGTCAGGGGCCCAGGTTCCACCTGAGCAAGTGGAGCCAGGCCCTTCTGTCTGCCTTGAAGCCATGAAGCCTTCCCCCTCCACCACCCCCCCCCCGGTACGCTGGGGGTGCAAGCAGCAAAGGACGCTTCCTGGTCTGGTGGTGTCACGTTTCTGTAGCGTGCGAAGCTCAGGGGACAAGGGGAAGCATGTCCTTAGAGGCTAAGCATGGCACGGGGCCGTCGGGTAAAACGTGTCTTTCTAGAGGAGCCACATGCGAGCTTGGTTCCCAGCCAGCTTCCGTCCCTGGCTGTACACGGGGGGGGCCCGGATTCTCCCGGTTCCCGCTGGCTGGCCCTGCGGCAGTCTGTCAGACGCGTCTCCTTCACGGACCTTCTCCCACCGGGAGCCGTGGCGTCACAGTCACTCCACCACGGTCTCTCTCTGCTGTGAACTCTGAAATTCGGAAACAGAACCCATCTCCTGGCGCGTCCTGCCTACTGCAGCCCCTGGAAAACGAGGGCCACGCGGGAGGGAGAGGCAGCCTGCCGAGAGACGGAAACTTTGAGAGACTGGAGAAGCAGGGTTCAGGCCGTGTTCCCAAAATGAGCCAAACGGGTCCTGTGTGCGCGGGCCCCTAGGTGCTGGATTTCATCACAGCCGACTGCCTCCCGTCGGCTCCAACGGCCCCCGGCGCCCAGCTCAGATTTTCTTTCATGTTGACAATTGCCTCAAATGTAGCTCAAAGCGGCAGACTTCGGGCCATTCGGAGCCTGCCTGCTTGCCATACCCCACCAGGCCTCACCCCACGTCGGCTAAGAATACAGAAGAGAGAGCTTTGTGGTTCTCAGAGCCCCAGCCGGTCCCCCGAGCTGCTGAGCCGAGCCCCCTCCCCGAGCAGTTCCTTCCCTGCCCTTTGTCCATTAGCCCACGGGGCCGCTGTAGCAAAACGCCACAGCCTGAGCGGCTTAGGCATACGGGACATCGCTCTCTCTCCTGGTGCTGGAGGTGCAAGGTGCCAACACGGTGCCAGCAAGGTGGAGTGAGAGCCCCCCTCCTGGTTCACAGCTGCCACCTTCTCACCGTGTCCCCTCCTGGTGGAAGGGGGCGGGGAACTCTCTGGAGCCTCTTGTACAAGGCGCTCCCTCCCATCCACGAGGCTTCCACCTTCTTGACCTAAACACCTCCCAAAGGCCCCACCTCCAAAGACCATCATGTTTGGTGCCTAGGATTTCAACAGCTGTATCTGGGGGAGGGGGGCGGAACTCACTGAGACCGTAGCACTGCCATCCTGCATCGTGCCCCCCCCGCCCCCCGACCGTAAGGCCCTGGGCAGTCTCACGCTGTGAGGGGGCTCCCCTGTAATGGGACTCCGTTCAGGGGCCACCCAGGAGAGCCGCTTGTGTGTTGCTGCCTGTCCTGGTCTTGTCCTCTTCCTGGATCAGCCCCCAATCCCTGGAGCCCCCTGCAGTTTGCTCACGAGCTCTTGGGAAATCACAGGTCTGATCCTTAGAGGCTGATGTGGATCCAAGGCGAGGTGCAGGGTTTTCAGCCCAGCTCCGGGGGAGACGCGAAGGAGGGCAAGGCCAGAAAGGCTCGGGAAAGCGTCTGCTCGTCACGGGGACTTGGGCAGCCGCTGTCTGGCCTGGCAGTGTCTCGACTTGCTGCCCGAAAGCCAATGACTTTGTGAGCCCCCGAGCTCACAAAGCCTAGTTGGCTGCCTTGCACGCTGAGCCCAAAGCTGCAAGCGTA